ATTATTTTAATCGCGGCTTCATTTCCCTCTTCCGAGCTGGCTAATCTACATGCCTCCGTCGACGGAGGCATGGAGTCTGGACACAGCCCAAATTTGGGTTGTGTTGACGTACCCCCAGACTCCTCTCAAGTATCCCTAGTTGAGAAACACTGCGCTAGAGAACATGAGCTAGGAGGGAAGGCTGAAAGAATTGGGTTTGTTTAGTTTAGAAAAGAGAAGACTGAGAGGGGACATGGCAGCCGTTTTCAGGTATCTAAAAGGGTGTCACAAGGAAGAGGGAGAAAACTTGTTCATCTTGGCCTCTGAGGAAAGACAAGGAGCAATGGGCTTAAACTGCAGCAAGGGAGGTTTAGGTTGGACATTAGGAAAAACTTCCTAACTGTCAGGTGGTTAAACACTGGAATAAATTGCTGAGGGAGGCTGTGGAGTCTCCATCCCTGGAGATATGTAAAAGCAGGTTGGACAGACACCTGTCAGGGATGACTAGATGGTGCTTGGTCCTGCCGTGAGGGCGGGGGACTGGACTCGATGACCTCTCAAGGCCCCTTCCGAATCTAGGCTTCCATTATTCTATTTTTGGGATATATCCCCCTCCCATTCCAAAGCGTGTGCCCCTAAGAAAACCCTTCCCCACAGTGCGCTGGGCAGTGACCCCCTCCACGGTACCCCCCTCACAGGTGGCTGTCCGTGGTTAGCAAAGACCCAGATCTCAGAGGTGCTTGCACGGGGGCTCGCCTTCCACCCTGCAGAGGGGGCATCCAGTCATATCTCTGCAGCTGGCCCACGTTGCGGCTGTCTCTCTGCTGCTGCTCCCGTGACACCATGTTCTGAGTGAGGTTCTGCCAGGGAACCCCGCTCTCAGTGAGCTCAGCCCATGGCTGGCAGCCTCCCGGCCTGTGCAGACTGTTCTCATTCCCCATCCCCACACGACGTCGATAGCGTAGACCAGAGCTGGGCAAGATGCAGCCCGGGGGCCGGATTCGGCCTGTGGACTGCATCTGGCCGCTTTCTATTTATATCCTGCTGCCTGGGCCACCAAATTTCCCGCCGGTGGCTCAGGCAGCAGGATCCTATTTAAATAGTTCATGGCTCCTAGTTGCGGTGCTACCCCAGCAGGGGCCAGAGCCGTGAGCCCTTTCAATAGCCGCAGCAACCCCAGACGGCTGCCCTTTGCTGTGTTTTTAATTCAAAGCCACGGACCCAGATAACTCTGGGGGGAGGCTAGTCTCCAGCCCTGCCCCTTCTGCCCAGGCCCCGCCCCTTCTGCCACAAACCCCGCCCCTTCTGCCACAGGCCCCGCCCCTTCTGGGGGGAGGGAGTGGAGCCGGCTTGTTATCATGTTCCAAAATTCATGAAGTGGCCCGCCTGTGAAAAATTATTGCCCACCCTTGGCATAGATTCTAGACAGAGCAGCAGCCACACAAGTGCCAAGGATCTCCACCTGGAAACAGACTCAACTGAGTTTAATCAGCTCCGGCATTCACTGCTGGAGAGGGGCAGCCCCATATGGCAGCCGGAGTCCACCCCCACTACCATTTGGCTCCCTCCTCATTGCTTGGCCAGTAAGGTTGAGAAGAGGGTGACCCCCTCGCCCAGGGCAGGCTAAACACGGCTGTGCTGCCCTTCACTCGGGCGCCCAGGATAACCTGGCACTACCCCGGCACTCAAATACCAGAGTGACCTGTAACCCGTCACTGTATGGGGAGATTTTGGCAAATCCAGTAATGTGCCTGAACCACTATTGCTTGCTGCTTGAACTTTAGCAACCAAGCTAACAGGCCCCAAATAGGCCTAGACAGCATGACCAAATTAGGGAGGGGGAAGAAGGGACAGAGTGCCCCAGAGAGGGCAGCTTGACCCCGCGTCCTTCCTGAGGCCCAAATCGCTAGTGAAATCGCTGAGCTAGACAGTAAGACAAACAGGAAGTTTGTCTAAATGCCCTAAGACAGATCTGTCAGGGCCCCTGAGCATGGAGTCTCTGGAAAAAGAAAAAACGCATCTGGTCAACGTGCTGATCAGAAGAAAACTTCTTGCCTGACCTTTAAAAAGTGCTTGCCTAACAAGTTTTTGAGTGACATGTTATTGTAATACTAATGGATAAAGAGGGAAGGAAAGTTTGAGTTAGGGGGACAATTTTGGGAACACTTGGAGGGACTCCTCGAGGACTCTTCACATCTGGATGCATCTTCGTTCCCACCGGCAGACGGAAGACTGGCCATCGGAAGCCTGCTCGGTGTCACTCAAGAGCCACCCTCGGTAATTATCGAGGGTGGGGTGTTTTACTAACCTCTTGCGGACGTGCGTAAGTGCTTGAGACTAAGCACAGTTTAGCTTTAAGTGAAAGCTCGCTTGTGATGTCCCATTTGTACCATCCATCTATCGGTCGGACGACTGTGTCTCCCCTGACACCACCTCGCAGAGAGTAAAAGTTACCGAGAGGTTTGGGTTGAAAGAATCCCAGGTAACACCACCAGCCCAAACTGATCATTTTGACAGAGCAGCAGCTCCACCCGCCGCACCCCTAGGCAGAGTGGGCAAACACGCCTGCTCCTGGAGTCTTTTCCCCAGCTCACCCCTAGAGGTCAGTAGAGCGCTCGCTCCCACCCTGCTTCCGCCTAGAATAGAGACGAGATTCAGAGCTGGAGTCCAAACCTTCCCAGCGTGGGTCCGATCTGGAAGTTAGATTTGGGACCGTCCCTGTGGAACCCACACACCTAATGCGGGTCACTGCCCCATGTACAGGAACTTAGACCATGTACAGCGAGAGATAAGAACAAGGGAGCTCTACAGCCTAAGCGGAGACCCAGCAGGCTTTGTCGCTCAAGCTGTAGAGGCTCCTACACTGAGGTCCCAGGTTCAAATCTACCTGGTGGTGGTTATAAGTGGGGGCTCATCTGGGTATGTGGGTGTAACACCTGCTCTGCATAGGAGATTTAAATACCTAGTGCCTAGCCAGGGTCCATGCAGATACACTGGCTGTGTCTAGACTGGCAAGTTTTTCCGCAAAAGCAAGTGCTTTTGCGGAAAAAACTTGCCAGCTGTCTACACTGGCCGCTTGAATTTCCGCAAGAACACTGACGATCTCATGTAAGAAATCAGTACTCCTTGCGGAAATCCTATGCTGCTCCCGTTCGGCAAAAGTCCTTTTGTGCAAAAGCTTTTGCGCAAAAGGGCCAGTGTAGACAGCTCAGATTTGTTTTGTGCAAAAAAGCCCCGATCGTGAAAATGGCGATCGGGGCTTTTTTGCGCAAAAGCGCGTCTAGATTGGCCATGGACACTTTTCTGCAAGAAGTGCTTTTGCCAATCTAGACGCTCTTTTAACGTAGAAGTGCTTTTGCCAATCTAGATGCTCTTTTAACGTAAATGCTTTTAACAGAAAACTTTTCTGTTAAAAGCATTTGCAGAAAATCATGCCAGTCTAGACGTAGTCACTGGGTTAGCTCGCAAGACCTTAACCCCTCTGCCAGCAACGAGC